ATACAGCTATGAGTTTGATCTGATTTTAATATTGGCAACAGAAAGGAGCAGCAGACAAACTGGGTGGGATTTAAGTCTGCCCCGTCTTCAAGACTGCCCTTTCCACACTGCTCTGAGGAAAAAGACAATCAAGGAAACACTTACAGAGTAAGGATATCCCAATCCAGGGGAGGCTCACGTAAAGGCTGCTGTAGGACTACAGTAATGGAGAGAGGTAGGTTTCCACCAACAATGAGATCTCCAGACCTGTAATAGTCTTCTTGTACTTGGAAAGTTCTCCTCCAGAAGCAGCTTGGCCTCAGGTCCATCTGGACGGCTGCAGACAAGGTCCAAAGCAACACTAACAGGCAAATCATTGGTCACAGAAAGAGACCTCCTTCCTAGAGCAAGCCAACGGATTGTGTTGCGGGGAATGCAATGCTCTGGTGACCTCAGAGGGTTGAATTGGGGTTTTAAGTCTTCAGGATAAGCATTCGTCTAAGCTCCAACTCAAAAGGGACCCAGCTGTATTATTCAGAGTGTGCTCAATAAACATGTTTTGACTGGACCCAAACCTCTTTACACTTAGGGAGGGTTAATCTCCAGAAATCCACCAAGGTGAAGTAAGGATTACTACTCTTTTATTAATAATCCCAGGAGAGAGAAACGCTCACATTATCCCCATAACTCTGGAGTCGGTGGCATTTTGGGAAGAGGAAAACCTATTTGTGAAGCCACACTTTTATCTCTCTGTGAACTGGGCAACTGTGATTGGAGAGTCATGCAGCTGTAGAGTTGGAAGAGAACTTGCGGGTCACCTTGTCCAATCCCTTTAATATAGAATATACATGGGGCACACTCTTTTAGATCTCTGAGGAGATCTTTATGGGATCAGCTGATTTTGCTGCCACCACCAAACTCTTTCTAGATTTAGAAACTCTCTGAGCCTTCCTGGAACTGCTCCCCATGGCCTCTATCTTAGTGGTGTTTCCCAAACTGGCCAATGCAGATGTGTTTCAGCTGTGGGGTACCTAGATGGTTTTTAATAATCACATCCTTTCTTTTTTTCTTATTTTCTTTATGACTTAGTTGTATTCTTCCCAGAGTCCCTGTTGTTTGAGTGGGTCATCAATATTTTAAATAAGTATTTCAAAGCCTATCACTCTGACTCTTGGAGGATCTCTGAAGGCTGGGATCCAGAGCTGCTCTCAGATGCATCATTCTGCCCTACACCCTTCCTCAGTCCTCACCCTCTGCGATTTGAACCACTGGGAGAGGTTACTTTCCTTAAGTGACAGTTCTAATACCCGGTCATCACACGCCCAGACCAAATCCTGCCGTTGCAGTGGCCGTAATAGATGAAGATTCCCTTTCAGTCTGTGGTGGTGGGAGATGAGAGGTCGGCCTGGTGGGCTCTGATATGTGGGGTGTTGCAGGGTCAGCCCTCTGTCCTTCTCAACCTATCCCTAAGCATTCTTGTAAGTTCATGAGACATCCAAGAGACCATCACACACTGTTGTCTTCCTTCACCTCTGCCCAAGATTGAACAGTTTGCTGAGTATCCCATTTTTTCACACCCATCCATCCATCCATCCATCCATCCTCATAATAATCTGACAGATGAATAATAATAGGGACAGGAGAAAATCCCTTAGTATTCACCTCACATAATTCAGCCTTCCAGGTAGACCAGACAGGAACCACGACCAGATGAGCTAATTCTACTTTATTGTAAGGCTACATTGACAGAGTCTTGCAAGTCTGAAATTAAAAATCTCCCGCCGTCTCCTTTGCAACCCAAGAAGCTAGGGAGGCTCCCTTCTGCACCTCTTGCTCCACCCACTATGCAGCTGTGGGCTATGCCCTCTCTTATCTGACCGTTCCCCAGGCAGCACCTCTTCGCCCCATCTCCCAAAGTCTTTCCCACATACCATCACATCAATTTGTGGCAGCGGGAAGGAGGCCAACACTGCCAGTGATGACAGAGGAAGCCCTTACAGGAGAGACTTGTGCTTCGGAGTGGGGATGAGAGCTGCCCTCTTCTTTCATCGTGGTCATGTGGAGGTGAGGGGTGTTGCTGTGGTGCAGGCAGGGCTGGATGAGGCTGGCTGGAGCTGCAGTTGGGCGGCCATCTTGCCTCCTTCCTGGCTGAGAGCAGGAAGGCAACGTGGAATAGCCATTTCCGTGTGGGCTGCTTCAAGAGGACTTTGACTGGGAGGGTTGGAGTAGGGAACTGGTCATCAAGTAGGAAAGCTTGTGGGTTGTGAATTGTGATTCTGCCTGTTTTCCCACGGGTGAGAGTCAGGGGAGGGCGGGGGTTGGATCATTGGGACTGTGACTACTTGGATGCCTAACCAGTCTGGTGAGAGGAGACTGGCTGAAGGCATTGTGTGGTTGGCATATGGGGGTGAGGTGGGTCCCTGGTTAGCTGGAGGCACTGAGTGCCCTGCAGAAGTGCTTCTGGTATTAGGGGGGCCTATTAGCTGATTGTGTGAGTAAAGTGGGGTGGGTGGTCTTGCTCCTGGACCTTTATGGACACGGGTGTGGGAAGGGCTCTCAAGGAATGGGGGCAAGCTGGAACTTCCCAGTAGTGACGGGTAGGGGAGATGACAGAATACAGGCGGAAGACCCCTCACAGGGACTGGGCCACAGGGATATTGTCCCTGTGGCATGTTCCAGCCTCTTGAAATTGTCCTTGGGCCCCAGATGGCAGACCTTCAAGGCCCTGGGTTGATGGCTGCTGCTGCTGAATGCCAAGCCCGTCTGCAATAAGGCCACCCTCATTCATGACTTGATTGTCAATGAAAAGGTTGACCTGGTGTGCATTATTGAGACCTGGCTGGGGCAGGAGGCGGGGTTCGCCTCTCTGACATGTGCCCAGCTGGGTTCTGGGTTGGCACCAGCCAAGACCCCAGGGTAGGGGTGGTGGGGTAATGATGGTCATCCTGAAACACATGTGGTTCTTGCTTCTTTGGTTTTGTCAGCTATGAGAGGCTTCACAGCTCTTTCTGGTCCTATTGGACACCTCAGCAGCCCTTTGATAGCATCAGCCATGGTATTCTTCTGGATTATCTGTTTGGGTTTGAGGTTGGAGGCTCTGTATTGTCTGTTCCTTCCTCAGTGGTTGTGGGGTACCACAGGGTTAAGTCCCCCCTCCCCTCCTCCTTAACATCTATATGAAGCCATGGGGAGAAGTCATCTGAAGGAGCACGTTTGTCACCTGGACAGAAACCAAATGACCTCTTCCTGGACTCATGAATACTGTTGGACAAGCAGATGGAGGCCATGGTCAGGGTGCACCAGTTTCCCTGCCATTTTCTCCATGTGTCATGACCCCCTGTTCAGCAATCATTGTTCTTGACATTCTCTCTTCTTCTTTTACCCCAAATACTTCTTAAGTACCCCCTTTCCACTGCATGTAATTTACTTCTAGGTTTCTTCTGACAGACCCAGCTCTTGTTTCCATGTAATGAAAAGGACAAGAATGTGGTCTTAACTGCTTTTGAATTTTTTCAAAAAAATGCATTCCTCACAATAGATCGTCCACTATGTCTCTGCAATCATATCCCTTTTTATAATGGTTCCACCATTTCCCCATCTTTACTGTACACTCTACCATGATATGCAAATTTATCTACCTGCTCTATTTTTTTAAATTGTTGTTGAGATCAGGTTGGCCCTATATTATTGGCCTTAGCAAGACCAGAGGGCCAATGGGGACAGACAGGATGCTGATCAGTGATGAAGAGTTTTTCTGACCTGTTCACTTCATTTTCTGTCAAACACAACTCCCTTCATGTTTGAGACATATTTTTCAAATCTGCACTCATTACATGATACAGTCTATTGCACATTTGCTGCAAATCATTTCAGTTCTTAGACAACATGGTATCATATGCATAGAAAGTTACACAGCCATTTGCACCCCCGAACAACCTATCTCTAGGTTCTAGATAGCATCTCATGAGACATTCAAGAGACTATCACACAACGTTGCCTTCCTTCCTCTCTGCCCAATATTGAACAGTTTGCTCACTATTCCATTTACTCACACCCATCCATCCGTCCATCCATCCATCTTCGTAATACTCTGACAGAATGAATAATAGTAGAGATAGGAGAAGATCCCTTAATATTCACATCGCATGATCTTTTTTATTAATGCAATATTTTTATCTAATCATAATGAAAAGAACACTGTGCATAATGTAAACTCTTGCATTAGAAATATACAATGATAAATATGTGAGTGAGAGAATAGTAGAGAATTCTGCAAACTCCCAGGAGCCCATGCGCACAAGTGCACTTAGAACATTGATAGCTCTTTATTATTTCTGCATTAATTTTCTATGCCACTATGACTGCAATGCAAGTTGACACTTTTTTTCAAAGACTCTTTTCATTGAAACAAATAAAGGGGGAAAGGTCCTGCTGGAAACCAACATCCAAATCTTCAAGGTCAACCTTTTCTTCCGAGTTGATCACTAAGCCTTACTGGGGACAACTGGCATTAATGAAAAATAAAAGGGTGGATGACTCTTGCAGACTAACAAGTACATTGTGATCAGTCACACCACTTGAAACCCATCACTAAAGGGACAGGTCCCTCCCTTATTTCATCATTTTTTTAGAAATCTGACCAAATACTAAAATGCCCCAAAGTCTAAATAAAAGTTCTCAATCCCTGCATTAGTCAGAGATTCTTGTGCCTCATTATATTTTCTCTACTATTCAGATTGGGTCTAAGTAGGATAATGTAGCATTTGGGGGAAAAGATACAAGCCAAGAGACCAGCTCCAGAGGCCAAGATGGAGAAGATCTCCACGGCCACCATGGACTTCCCTTTGGTGCTGAGGTAGGTGGGCAGGAAGGTGATCCAAACGCTGCAAAAGACCAGCATGCTAAAAGTAATGAACTTGGCTTCGTTAAAGCTGTCGGGCAATTTCCTAGCCAAAAAGGCTACTGTGAAACTGACAAGAGCCAGGAAACCCAGGTAGGCGAGGACAGCATAAAACATGGAAGCTGAGCCTTCCTTACATTCCAAGATGGCCTCTTCTACCAAGGAGTCAAAGTCGAAGTTGGGATATGGGGGAGAGGTCACCAGCCAGGTGGCACAAAGAACTGCTTGGACCAAGGGACAGGCTAAGACAATGGAGTTAATCATTGGTTTCCCTAAGAATTTCCTTGTGCTGTTCCCTGGCCTGGTGGCCATGAAGGCCAGAACCACCATGACAGTTTTTGCTAACACAGAGGAAACCGCAAGGGAAAAGAGAATGGCAAAGGCAGTTTGTCGGAAGAGACAGGTGAGCTTCCCAGGTCAACCAATGAAGAGGAAGGAGCAGAGGAAGCAGAGCAGGAGGGAGACCAGGAGGACATAGGTGAGATCTCGGTTGTTGGCCTTGACGATCAGTGTGTTGTGATGTTTAATGAAGGCTGCCAACACAAGGATTGTGATCAAGGAGAAGAGAAGAGCAAGACAAACTAAAATTAAGTTGAGGGTATCCTCATACGAGAGAAAGTTCACAGCCTTGGAAATGCACAGGACTTGGTTCTGGCTTGGGTGTCGGTCTTCTGGGCAGTGGGTGCACTGAGCCACATCTGGAAAGTGGATGGTCATGCTTGTTTTTTCTTAGCAGTTAAGCCTGGCAAGGGGAAATGCAGAAGAGCCATGCAACCCTTCTGACTGGTAGGGCTTTGACTGCAGGGGTTATTTGTGATTGCTATTTCATTCATTCATGGATTTGTTCAGTTTTTGATAAAGCTAAATGCTTTACATGCTGACAAGTTCTGCCCTACATTCTCAAGCAACTGTTCCCAATCTGGCACCCTTCACCTATCATTCCATCAGAATAATTTTGAATTAGGTGGCTTTATAAATCCAATAAATTAGATTAAACTAAATTAAATTAAATTGCCTGAGCAGTGTGACTTTTGCTGGATGGCCCCCAGTTAGAAAGCACACTTTCAGTGTCTCAGAATGTCGAACTCTTTCTCCTTATAGCGGTGAGTGAGATCAGCAGAGCTGGCCTGGGGATTCTCAGAGAGGTTCACTCCCATTGGCATAGAAGTACCCAGGATTGATAGGATTTGGGTGGGAACCCAGACTTGCTGGGACAAAAGAAAGACCTTCTCTACATGGAATGTAATGAAACCATGAAGCATGGTGTTACAAGCGATAGGAATATTCAGCTATAAGACAGAAGACCTAGCAGTTTTTCTCCCCAAGTTCAGCCCAAATTGGCTTCTCTGCAACGTGTACCCTGCCTTCAGGAACACGGAGAAAAGGCTGACTCCCTATTCTGGGTGACAAGCTGTTCTTCATCAGTGAAGAATCAGAGGGCTTGAGAAGGAGATTAGAGGGATTCATCAAGAAGAATCAAGGAGCTCCTAATAATCAAGGCTGTATATCAACAGAATATGAGGAAAATACATCTTTGGGTGAAGGAAGTAGAAGTAAGTTTTTAGAGGCCTCAGATGAATGGGATCACTTTAATAAAATTGAAATATAAAGGAATTTGTGTAAGCTGGCTGTAAAGAATTTATCCAACTAGTGTGAACTTGGGTGATTGCAAAAAACTTCTTCTTAAAGCCTTATCACAAACAAGGCATCTGTCTCACAATTCTTCCTGGCATTTGGTACTTTGACTAACTTGTTTCTTCCTCTTAGTAAGGCTATTGTTTCCCTTGAAAATAGGAGATAAGAAGAGGGGCAAATACACAAGGCATTTGTCTCGTAGGAGGATGAGATAAGAAGGGGGGTAGCAAGTAACTTGAGATCTATTGCTTACTGATGTATGTCTGCATCATCACATGAGTATGTATGTATGTATGTATATATGTATTCTTTTCCCTTCCCTTCTTGTAGAAATATATAAATATCAGGGTATCCATTTTGCCTGGAGGGGAGTGTCTCCCACTAACCTTTGGTGGGGT